CGCTGACCACCTGGCTGAATTCAGAGACTGGGGGCCCTATGAAAACACCTAAAATTTTTAATTCTTGATTGAAGTGGTCCAAAATGAGAAAACAAAGGAATGTGGGGCTCTAGAGTGAAGCCCATAGGCATAAACAAGCGGAGGCAGTTTGCGGACATTCTGTAGGCCACGCAGTTGAGCGGACTGACGAGGAAGCGTCTGACCTGAGGCTTCGCACAGACGTCATCGCCACCGTGGGGGTCACGGCAGCCCCTGCCCTTACTGCCCGAAGCTGTTCTCAGGTGGGACAGTCTTGGAATTTTTCTTCTGAAATTGCCTTTTGGGCCAAATCATAAATCCAAGCCTTCTACTTTATATCCGCAGAAAATTTTTGATGAACCCTTTTTCTTCAGATTTTATTCACCTACCCTCATCCCAAATATTACAACTTTAGATGGCTTCAAACATCAAATCCACACCTAGGGTTTGTGCTCAGGAGGAGCCCTACTAGAAAGAGCAAAGCTCGACCCACTGCCCTGATCAGCACCTCTGGTCCTTTGCACGTGTCACGCTCTGCCCAGCCTCCGGGACCTCACCTTCGAGACTCAGTATACCCGGGGGGACTGTGGGGTCCTCGACAGTGGCAAGTGTGCTCAGGCATTAGAGGCCACCGTCAATGCAGCCAAACGGTTTCAGAAGGCAGCAGGATTTACCTGGGACGAGGACACGGTGATGTGGTAGAACTTTCCTCGTCCTCCCTGGGGGATGGCTCTGACAAAGAAAAACTTGCGGCCGTCCTTGGAGAACACGGGTTCTTCGTTCTGCGGACAAAAGCAATGGATTAAACCATGGCTGAAACTTCATTTCGTTTTGAAGAGGCTGACCAGGATAACATACAGCCCGGGACACATGTCCTATGTCATTTCTAATGGGAGAGATGCTACAGCTGAAGAATACGTGCTTGGCGGGCCTTTTCTTGCCTGGGGAATCATGAGTCAAACGTTGAGTGTTTTTAAAAGAAAAGGAATAGTGGAGAATTAAGAGGCCACAGCCTAGGCACAGGCTGATAAAACGGCGTCCGTGACTATAAAGCACCGATAAAAAGAACTGTCGAGCGCGCGTGCCAAGCTCAGCAGAGTGAACAGGAACCCAACTCTTGAAAAGCATGTGGGTTCCTCCCCTTGAGCGGTTGCCCATTGAAACCAGAGTGCGTTGTAACACTTCTCCGATGGCATTTATTATAGATCAGAAAGAACATAATTCTGAACAGTCACAAACCCGATTTTGCCTAAAAATGAATTCTATTCTTCCAAGCCTGTGTTTTGTTCTTATTTAATAAAATCTGTCTCACACTGAATAGGCCATCAAGAAGACAAGTAAAAAAGGGGGAAAAAGAACCAAGGACAATTCCTATATAATATTCTCAGTGTGGATGACAGGGAAAATAGCACTGCCGGGACCCCTCAACGCCAGGCGTGCGCCAGATGCCAACGCTGGCTTGGATCTATCGTTACTTTTCCCTGGAAACAAAGGCAGTTCCCAGTTTTTCCGGGGGAAGGGGTTCCAGGCTGGGTCCCGAGAGCAAGTTGCCAGCGTGCCCCCGGGCCCCCAGCCCCCAAACGCCAAGCAGCGTTTCTCAGCCTTCGCCGGCCCCAGGTCGGCCGTCGCTTCCGTGGGCAAAGGGGGTTTTGCTGCGGCAGCCTCTCTGGAGCGCAGGTTTGAAAGTTTCCACCTGCGAACACCAATTAGTTGGCCACGATATATGTTTTCTGATTCAAGGAGCTCCACGCCGATGTGGGGTTGAGAATAAACGGTAAATAAACCCCAGCTGGCACAAGGAAAACTCATTTCCCTACAGTGAGTGAACACATGCAAATATGATATGCCCAGAGAAATAAACTAATATGTGATTAAAACGAGATTTAATCTTCATGAATATTTGCAATAAAACGAAACCTTTAATCTGCAAATATTTATTTTTCCATTTAGAGCTGGAAGCATGGTATTTAAAAGTGGAGGGAGCAGAAAGCCCAGCGGTTAATTTGGCTTTTTAAATGTGGTTCTATTTGCCAACTGCAGGATGGATACGGCAATACTCCCTCAGTTTTCTGGGGGAAATGTTTGCACTTTTGGCAAAGAAAAATACTTTAAATAAATGTGATAAATAATTAATTCTGGCCACAAGCATTGTTTTTATAAGAAGAATGCCTCAACCATGTTGACGTCATCTTTACCTTGTTCCACGGAAACATTCCACGGAACACAGGGAGAGGCGCTAGACCTGGAGTCTCTCTGAGAAGCAAAGCGTATTTTTAGTGTATTTTAGTACAATGATGGCTGACTGGGAGAACTGGGTTTTATCCTGGTTCCGTCTCTCATTTGATTTTGGGGGAAATGTTTCTAGTCTTTCTGGATAACAGAGTTTATCATGCATAATGCCTGGTTTCTACAGCTCCATGCTTAGGAGATCTGTGAGAGATTCTTTTTTTAAACCCACTCATCATTTCTCCAGATAGGACTGGATATGATTAAAGATGAAAAGTGACTGCATTTGAACTGAGCTACTTGCTCTTCTTTGTTGCCATTTTAATTGATGAAAAACTGTAATCACAGTCATAACCATTTATGGCAATTACCAGGAAATGCTCAGTGTTAACCCTTACTTTAATTACAGGGTCACAGAACTTTAGCTGTGATTTGATCCAAATATAAACTTATTAAATATCCTTGATATGAACATTTGGTATTGAGATTTTTTTTTTTAGATTTTGGCATTTGAGTTTAAACCTAATCTCTATTCTTTTTTTTTTTTTTTTTTTTTTTTGAGACAGAGTCTCACTCTGTTGCCCGGGCTAGAGTGCTGTGGCGTCAGCCTAGCTCACAGCAACCTCAAACTCCTGGGCTCAAGCGATCCCCCTGCCTCAGCCTCCCGAGTAGCTGGGACTACAGGCATGCGCCACCATGCCCGGCTAATTTTTTCTATATATTTTTAGTTGTCCGATTAATTTCTTTCTATTTTTAGTAGAGACGGGGTCTCGCTCTTGCTCAGGCTGGTTTCGAACTCCTGAGCTCAAACAATCCGCCCGCCTCGGCCTCCCAGAGAGCTAGGATTACAGGCATGAGCCACCGCGTCCGGCCTAATCTCTATTCTTTTTAAGAAATTTAATTAATTTTTTTATTGATATGTATTAGATGTGCATATTTTTGGGGTACATATGATAATCTGATACATTCATATAATCAAGTCAGCGTAAGTGGGATATCCACCACTTTAAATATTTATCTTAATACTAGAAACATTCGAATTATTCTGGCTATTTTGAAATGCACAATTGGTTAATGTTAACTATCGTCACCCTACGGATCTATCAAACGCTAGGTCTTATTTCTTCCATCTAAGTGCGTATTTGGACCCATTATGGTGAGAGATTCTTCATGAGCTGTTTGTCGTCTTTCTGCTGATTCTTTCCGTGGTTCGGATATACTCAGCTTGTTCAATCTCCCAGCTCAGATTCTGAAATCACAAAACCAAACTTCTGATTGAAGAAGAAACACGGCAGAAATTGATCCATAGAACTGACCCTTCGGCCAACACGGCAAGTTCCGGGGTTCTGCACCGGACGGCGGGGCCTGGCGGCGGCCCCCAGGGAGCTGCGTCAGGACGGATCTCGGTGGTCGGGGCGAGGGTGTGCGGACGTGGCCGGAAGGGATTGCTACGTCCCTGAACGTTCCCAGAGGAGAGGGGAGTGGGCGGGTCTCCCTCCACACACATCTGCCTCTTCTTGGCTCGTGGGGAGTCTCCGTGGGGTCCAAGCCGAGGGTGCCGGCAAGGAGATGGGAAGAGAAGAGAGGCACCTGGACGGCTCGGACGACACCAACTTAGCCGGTCGCCGACCCCCCACTCTGGCCCCGTAACCTGAAGACTGGGTGACCTACGCAGACCAGTGTTCCTGAGCTCTGCGGGATTTCCAGATCCCGGTCTTCCCTGCGTCAGGGGCGGCAAGCTTCTGTGACCCACTCGAGATGACGGGCAGAGGGCGCGTGGCCTTAGTGTGTGTCTCCCCGGCTCGTCCCCACGTTCCGCCGCGGAGAAACGCTCCCGAGCTCTGCGTGAAACGCAGCGCCAGCCTCTCGGGTAACAGACGGCAGATCCAGCCTTAAATGAGCTCCTCAGCTGCCTCCAGGGGCTCGTGGTATCTTCAAGGATGCGGAAACACTACAGATCATTTTTGGAAAACAGGGTCTGTGAATTCCTTTATGAAAGAAGGAATGCAAGGAGAAACTGCGGGAAATTGGATTTTCCTACAGACCTTGGAGCCCTGATCTTCGTAGTCACAGACTCAGTCTGCAGGTGCTCAAACACCGCGTCCCCTTGCTGCGGCTGGGGCTGGCGTTCACCTAACCCAGGGGCGGACGCAGCTGCGCTGGCCAGCGACTGCCCGAGCGACGCGCCGTCTCTCAGGAAGACACGTCTGTCACGGAACGCTACCTTTCACACTCAAGACAGCAGTACAGATTTTTAAGTAGCAATTTAAAAAATTTAGCTGTTTACTTAGTAAATGCTTTAAAGTTCACATTTTAAAACTGCGAGAATTATTTTAGTTCATGCTACTTTTTAAGTGTTGACTTGGTTTTGCTTGGAAAGACTGGTTTTGCACATCCCGCTCAGGCTGTCTACCCTGTGCCTGGGCTGGTGTTCTCAGGGGGGCGATGCGCTATGCAGACAATAAACATAGAAAAATCCCGCTGGCGGTCTCGGTGCTGCAGCCACCCTGCACAGCTGGGGAGGAAGCGAGCAGAGGAGGACAGGTCCTTGGCCTGCCACAGGCCTGCGATGCCATGCACTCTGCTGTCCACCCCCAGGGCAAAGCTGCCCCTCAGCCCCCCGCCGTGGGCGTGCTGCTGGAGGGGACAGGGAGGCAGAGTGGGCACCTGCCCTGGCGTTCCAGAGGCCTCTGTGCCCCCAGTAGAGAACATGCTCTGACAGGCACGTCCTCACCTCCTCCCGGTCAAGAACAAAGTCTGCCCGCGGCTAAGGCCACCTGCGCCGCACCCTGCTCCGCTGTTCCTGGTTCCCACTGCCACCAGCGTCTAGACCCTAAGTCACCGCTTATGAACATCTCCGAGGGTTCCCCTCCTTTCCCACACTTGGGAACTTATGTGCACATCCCATCTCCCTGTCTGCACCACAAACAACATCACTGGGAGCTGGTGCTCTAGCCGATTCATTTTTTAAAAAAATTATTGAGGTAAAATTCCCATAACATAAAACACTTTAATACAAGTGAACAATTCGGTGGCATTTAATACCTTCACTATGTAATGCAACCACCACCTCTATGTAGTTCCAGAACATTCCATCACCCCCAAATAAAACCTGATATCCATTAAGCTGTTGCGTCCCTTTCTCCTCTCCCAGCCCCTGGAAACCACCAATGCGCTTTCTGTTTCTATGGATTTATTTATTCTGGAAATTTCATATGAATGGAATTGTGTAATAGTTGGCTTTTCTGTCTGCTCTTAGCAGCACTACTCACAACAGCCAAATGGTGGCAGCAACCTGAATGCCTGTCACCGTATGAACAGACTGGAATGTACAGAGAGTGGAATACTACTCAGCCACAAACAGGAACGACGTTCTGACACATGACATGTGCTCAGTGACAGCTGCTGGCTCTCTTTTTGAAACGCACAAAGTCTAGCATCTTGCCTTGAAAGATCCATAAATACTGGTTGAACACACGACTATGTAGATAATGAAGTTTTAAAAATGGTCCTTTCATTCCAATCTTTCTGCCATTTTGTCTGATGTAAGATAAACATCATGTTATTTCTGATATTTGCGCTTCCATGTTTGATCCAGGTGGCATTTGAGAATTTTCCAGTATGCTAATATTTTAGGGTTCCCAACTGCTCTGTTGTTCTTGATTTCTTCTTGGAATGGACATGGTACCCAAACTTTGACGTGGGGAAACAAAGGTGGCCAGACCGAACCATTCTTCTTTTGAATGAGATTGGCACAGAACGGAAAAAGGATGTATTTAAAAATAATACTGTCCACTGATAGGGCTATCG